CGGTTGATGACATATATATATATCTTTTTTCTCACCCGTGGCACCTTGAATAGTTGTAAAGACATAGCACTGGCTCAGTAAGTCATTATTGTTTTACTAAACAATATGTCATCTCATCCAAGTATCCGAATAGTTGCATCCTAAAATTACTCTCCAACATAAACATTGATTTATTTGGTCAATAAATGTTGAAAACTGAAAATTGTCACTAGAAAACATCCAGCTCCATAGTGGAATGTATGTTGTACATGGAGATACTGTACTAGGTCTAGTAGCTCTGGCAAAAGGATTCGATTTATATACTGTCATCAAGGTTCCTATAGTCTGTTACTCAAAAGAAGCCATTTAGATACATATCATGGAAGTCAAGAACACCTCTTCTGAAACCAAATTGCCTAGGTTCAAATCCTGGTTTGGCTGTTTACTGGAAGACCTTCTGTGAGTCCCTTAATCTCTTTGGGGCCCTACTTATCTGTGAAATGAGATGATACTACTCACGTTGTATGATTATTTTGAGGACTGAATGAGTTAATACATGTAGAGAACTTAGAACAGAACCTGGCACATACTAAATATTGTGTTTGTATCATAGAAACTAATAAAATCCAGTAAAATCTATCAGTAGTAACTCTCTCATAGGACAGAAAAATTTTCTCTTGAGTCTTGACGTCAAAACCCTCATGACCATGAAACCATAAAAGCGAAATAAGCATTTTCTTTAAGAGATCATTAAATCATTCCTTTTGTTTAAAGGAGGAAGGCGAGGAGTGTATAGTTTTTCTTTTCCCATTTTTTATGTGATTTTAAGAAATAACTATTAAATCACTAAGAGAGGTCTGAAAAATGTGACTTCCATAAAAAACAGTCATAACTCCTACCCCAGCTTTTACCCTGGCCCCAACGATTCTGCAACTTACTAATATCTAGGCTCATCCAACCCTTCTAAATAAAAGAAAAGAAAAAACGTATCAAATGTTAGTCAGCAGCTGTGTCCCAAGGTAGAAATCAAATTGAATAATTTAAGTGGCACAGCATGTCATGCCATGGAGAATAAATATATAACTGAGGATTAAAGGAAGACCTCTTTGTTAATCCCTGTGTGGCATGATCTACTGCTTGGTTCTGGGTCTTGCGGAGTAAACCTACTTCAGCAAATACATTTTTGAAGACTCAAAAGAAGTAATTGATTTTGAGGGTTACCAGGGAGTAGAATGTGAATGAACTTGAATTTCTATTCAAAACGAATAAAGCCCCAGAACAAAGTCTGATTTAGTCCACTGTTATATTTGCCAAAGGGTGAAAGGTTTGCCCCTAATAGTGTGGAGAGACCATTGCGAGCTTATGAGAGAGCCCCCAGCAGTGCCTGGTATATCACTATGTGACAGTAAGTGCTGCCACTGGATCCAGGAGATCTTGGACTTTCACCAGAAGCTCCATGAGAGAGCTTAAATTGAAGTTGCAGATTGAACATGCCAAATCTGAAAATTTAAGATTCAAAATGCTCTAAATCAGAAACTTTTGAACACACCACCATGATGCTTAAACGCTCATTGGAGTACTTCAGGTTTTGGGTGTTTGGTTTAGGGATGCTCAAACCAGTAAGTAGAATGCAAATATCACAAAATAAAAAAAAAAAAAAAGAAATCCCAAACACTTCTTGTTCCAAGCATTTTTGATATCAGCTACTCAACATCTGCCATATACTGTGTAGCTTTTTCTTACCTGCTGGTGGCACATTTTTGGCTCTTACACCAACTTACATTGCTTCTTACTAAGATGCCCTTAAGACTCCAAAGGAGAGGCAGCCATTTTATTTACCCACTAGGGTAGTCCAGAGTCCTTGGTACTCTGGGCCCACCATTGTGAGCCTGGGCAGGTCAGCAAGGGTGGGGTCCAAAGGCCTGGGAATTACTAGCATTATTGCTGTTTTTTCTAGGGGGATGAGACTTTGCAGGGAAACCTGCTGCTGTAGGTCTCATGACTGTTTTTAAACTCTTCCCTTTATGTTAGGCCTCATCCCACTCCAACAGATTTGGTTCCCAGATTCTGAATTCCTTTAGTGTGAAATAGTACATGGTAGTCTGACTAGTGATTATGAGACAAAAGACAATTTTTTTTTCTAAGTTTGATATTTTATGTGTCCTTTCTCTTTCCATTTTTTAAAATAATGTCTTCATCTCTCTTTTCAGTTCTGGTATTATTTAGTGTTTTCATAGCATGGTATAGCTGAGTTCCTTGTGATCATTTTTAGTAGTTACACAAGAAATCATGTACAGAGCATGAGCCAGCACTTAGCCAAATAATGAAATGGAAGAACTCTGCCAAACCCAGCATCATAATTTCCCCTAATAAAACTCTACTGTGTCATCTACTGTGTCACTTAATTTGGTCTCTTTTTAAAACTTGAGCCTCTACCAGCCTATTTTAGGGAAGGGTACTACAAGGTCTATTGCATAAATGATTTGACTTCCAATTGAGCTAAGAATACAGTGAGCCACTTCCTAGAGTTATTTTTAAAAGAATGAGAAAGGACTTCTTTGGAAAAAAAAAAAAAATGTGTTTTCTGAATATAACTATCTTGGGTCTAAATTTTTTGCTCATTTCCTTAAGTCCTGTATCACTTTGGAATTGCTTCGTATTTTGTAGAACAGGTTTTGTATTCTAATATAGAAATTCTTAACTTGCCTTGCTACCTAAATTCAAATGCATTCCAGAATAATCCCTGGCACATAGTAGGTGCTCAGTAACTATTTGGTGACCCCTTAGCTTTCTACATTTCTTCTTACTAGGACATTGTCTCCTCTTAAGCATAATATTCAACAACTGTCACGGGCTATTCTGTGATTTTTCATTTCATACTCGCTGGCATACATTTTGCCTCTTTAAAATCTAGCCGTTTTGCAGTCTCATCAATGTGGAACCAAACTAAAACTAAAGTAGAAATTAACTAGTGCCTAAGATTAGAGTTTCCTGTCATCTGGCAGGGAAACGTGATACACCTGGGAAATCTTTTCATCAGAAATGCTTGATAAGGTATAGTACTGGAACCCACTGTTGTGAGGTGACTGTTAGCCAGTTGCTTAATCACTTTGGCTTTGGCTTTGGCTTTCTTGTCTATCAAATGTGAGAGCAACATTCAGTGATCTCTCAAGTCGCTTCCAACTCAAAGACTTCTATGATCCTATGCTTCTCAGGCCACCTTCCCCTCCAGTCCTGTCTGCTCCCTTATAAAAGGAGACTGGGACATGTAGGGAAGTTACCAATCTGTGACTTTAAAGGAATAAACTTTTAGCTGTCCAGCAAATCTAGGTATCCAGAAAAGGCCATTCCTCCAGGGTATATCGGTTAGCCACAATTTTACTGTACATTAATACATACTTAGAAAAACTAATTTACTGCTTAGGAAAACATTTGGGAATGGTTAAAACTGTGGAGAAATCTTAATTCTTGGTAGGGAATGTTGACTTTAGTGTATACAATTACCATTTTGTTGTTACACATATTTTCCCCCCTTTTAGGCTAGAGCCTTCTTTGGGATGAGGGGGATGGGTGTACACCTGTGTCACATAGGAGCCTGACTGTTAATTTGTTCTCCTGACACTACTAATCCCTTGTTCCTGTTCCTAAGGGCACTGTTGATAAGTGTCATCCAAAGTAACACTCCAGAGCAGGTGAAGTACATTGTCAGGCTGCCCTGCATCCCAGCATCTGTTCCCTGTGGTGGTATCTGCCTCCAAAAGTCTATGTTTGCAGAACTGGTGGACTCATACAAAGGAATGCACTAATCATCTCATACTCCAAACACGGAGGGTGGGACAGAGAATGAGGAGACATGAACTTTTAATTAGCTGCTAGAATGCAATACCTAGCCCCAGTCCTTTCTAAGCATTGAGAAAAACAAGTGACCAGATGGAATTAGCTCTTCTATACCCCAAATAATTCGACCTTATAAAACTAGATGAAATGAAGTCCCATTTCTCTGGAGAGGATGGCCAGCCCAATCTGACTTGAGTAATGTTTCCATCTTTGTTCCTTTCCTTCCTCACAAACTTCCAGTTACAGCCCCGTGTGTCCTGCCATATGGTGTCCCAGTTTCTGCCTGATATTTAAGCCCCTCTAAATTCTGGCTACACACATACTCCTGCACACCTGACCTTATTTCCCATAATTCCCCAACCTTGTTCTGAGATGCAGTGATACGTCCTGTACTCTCCTACAGGTTTTGTTCATTTCATTGTCCTTACTCAGGATGCTTTCCCTTTGTTTGACCACTTAGGTCCAGCCCCTTTCTTAAAAATGTAATCAAAGCCCCAACTCTTCCATTGAGTGTTCCCCTAACACTCTGTGCTTTAGTACTCCGAAGCCTTGGAAAGCCCCCCAGGTTTAAGATTACTCATATTCTGTAGAATATATGAACTTTGCCTCCTGCATAGCTCTTGGCACAGAACAGAAGACATCCTAGGTACCCTTCTAAACCTTGACTGGGGGTTAGGTTTCAAAGGACAGCCTTGTAGTCAATGTGGTTCAGAAGAAGATGTGATTCTGTGCCAGTCTGGCAAAGACAAACACTGATGGTTGAGGCTATAGCAGGGTGTGCATGGTGGGCACATGATGGTAGCCTCCTCCACTGCATTTCATGGCTCACCCTGGATAGTTATTTGTAAAAGGATTTTGAGATAATTGAGCAATTTATGTGTGGGAGGTACAGAGACTCCAGGAGGGAAGGGGGTGGGGGACAAATGGGTGTTTACAGGGTGGGAGATGTGTCCACCTTGATTGTTTCGGGTCATGTGATGTTCATCTCCCCCTCCCCTGTCCCAGTGTGTGTCTGATATCTAATCTACCTCTTCAGGAGGCAGTTCCGGCCTACTAATTATGATCAATCACAACTCATACTTCAGCTCATGGCCAAGCCTTCAGTGTCAACAGGATAGAAACAATTTCTCTCTCTATTTTAGCCCTACCACTACTGTCTTTTTTTTTTTCTTTTCGGATATTAGGTAAACCCCACAGCCCAGTGTACCCACGCTCTGTTGAAGATGATCTACTGCTCCCACTGCCAGGGTCTCGTGACAGTGAAGCCATGTTACAACTACTGCTCAAACATCATGAGAGGCTGTTTGGCCAACCAAGGGGATCTCGATTTTGAATGGAACAATTTCATAGGTGAGCAAGTGATTAACATGTTTGTGTTGCTGGAGATAGCTGAGCTTCCAGTTACAAGGAATGTTGTAATTGGCAGCTGTGAAATTTGTTTGTTTTAGTGTTATTTAGTGTTTGTCAGAATCCTGACTATGCTCAACTACTTTGAGTATAGTAAAAACATTACTACATGTAAACGTCCCCTTGAACTAATGGTGACATTTCTGAAGGTAATAGATACAGTGGCTGCCAGGTTTTAATAACAGGAGAATGCCTATTTCTCAGAGACAGGGTCTCTTTCTGTCACCTAGGCTGGAGTATGGCAACACAGTCATAGCTCTCTGTAACGTTAAACTCCTGGGTTCAAGCGATCCTCCTGCCCTCAGCCTCCAAAAGCCCTGGGATTATAGGCATGAGCCATTAGTCCCCAAGAAAGTGCCTTTTTAGATTTTCCCCCTGAAGGTCTGTTGTGGTTATCATTAGAGGCTTGTATCCATGTGAATGCTGGAGGACAGTCCTCATGGAGTTGGGAAAGTGGCTTTTAAAATGTTGTATCTGTTACACTGCAATCAAATCTTCTGCAACCCTGCCAGATATGCATTTGTTACTTGGATCAGGTGAAATCTGATTGAGAAATTTAGGGATTCTGTTTCTGCACATGATTTAGCAATAGTAGTCTGCTCTGGTGAGAGTGGAAGGAGTTTTGCTCCGAGAATTTAAGACATATGTATTCCTGCATATATCTTCCACCTAGAAAACCATTCTTGGAACCCAGACAGCAGTGTAAATGAAGTGGCCAATTGTCGAGAGGGTTAGTTATGATTTTTGGGAAAGGACAAATTAAGGAGAATTTAAATGTCCAGTTGTCAATTACCTTGATGCCTGAACCAACAGTGGCCAGTGTTGAAGTTCCTTGTGCTGAGTAGTAGGACTGCACACACATATTAACAGCTCACAAAATAAACTCACATTTACCCCACCCCAGTCACCTCTGCATAATTGCCGAATTTGAGTGTCTTCATAAGCACCTATTTTTCACTTATTTGTCCAAATCATGGGAACATGCATGCAATTTGCTGGCTTGTATTTTTTTTCTTTTTTTTTTCTTTTTGGCGGGGGAGGGGTGTTAAGGTTGGGGAATGCTTTTTAGTCTGTGTGAGACCTAATTACCATATTAACTCCGTTTGAAAGTGCATCAATAAATTGGCTCCAACAGATTCTTAAGAACACTGACACAGGGGGAAAAAGAGATGTGAATATTAAGCACTTCGGCACCATTGTAGCCTAAATAGCTCAAAGCTAGAAGACCTGAAAAAATCTTCTACGCACAGAAAAGCAGAATCTCATGAAAGGGAGGGCATAAGACCAGCAAAGACACACAGGCCAAATGGCACATCATGCCCAGAATGAAGCCATGGGAGAAATTGTGACTTCAAAATATTTCTCATGGAAGTAAAAACCCATAGAATTTACAGATCTAAAGTTGCTGTTTTTTCTCTGTCTATATCTGTAATCCCCCATTCATCCCCACACCCAAATGTCAAGTTTGCAGTTCACCTTTGCTAAATTGATTTTTTGAAGAAAGTTGGTGATTCTTTTCAGTTTCACCATACATACTATTAGTACACTGTTTCTCCAGGCAAAAGAGCAGAATTTGCCATATGGTACAAAAAATGTAACAGTTATCAAGTTTGGCTAACTTTACTACAGACACATTGGGAATGGAGTGGGGAAGGGCATGGCCCTTGCCATCATTTTGACATTCCAACGTATCTAGCAGCAACTATAACTAAACTCATATTCCTGTATTAAAATACAAATGCTCCTACGTATTTTTCCTAGAGTATAAAGGTCCATATCAAATCAAAACCACACTCTGGCTTTCTTAATTGATGTTTGAAATCAGTTACTCTAAAACAAAGAGGACTTAAGTTGCTGTTGTTGGTTCTTGTACATTTTTAAAATTATGCTTGTCATCTTTGAAGAAACAAAGTCAAACCCAAGTAGAAGTTGATAGGATTTCTGAATTGATTTTTTTCCTAGTTATTTTAAATGATAACTTTTTGGAGGAATGAGGTATACAACTGTATCTGAACTTTGCTTTTAATGGGTATACTATTCTTTATTTCTAATAACCAGATAGAAAAGACCAGGAGTAATAGACATTGTTAATCTCCAGTGCTTTTTCATGAATTTTTCACAAGGGTTTAATTAATCTGCTTTGTGGTTGTAGAATTCAGTCCCAATTTACATGCCTCTGCTGTAAATTCTTTTTTATTTCTTGTCTTTTTTTTTTTTCCTCTTTGCAAGGAAATTTTCTTTCCCCTTTAAATGACTGCAGCTAATGAACAGTCAAGGGCTTTTTTCCCCCTTCTTTAAATCAGATCTTGGGGTTAAGTCAGGAAATTGCCTTTTGTTCTTCCAGTCAGGTCACAAGGCTAAAGATGTGGGTTTCTGATTATTGGCGGCACGATGCAAAAGGAATCACTTTCTCTAGTGAGAAGGGGATGCTTTGTTGCTGGGGGTGTGGGGAGCAACCCAGTGCCAGTGTCTTGAACACTGAAATCATGCAGTTGGACTAGACCCTTTAAGAGACGAAGGATGAACCAATTTTCCAAATCTGTCTTCCTGTTGCCAATGCCCTTCCTCTCCTCTCTTAGCTGCATTTGTGCATGGCCATGAATTGAGACAGTCTTGAAGTCTTGTCAACCTTTTATCACGATGGATCCAAATAGTTAAAACACCTTGGAACTTGGTTTTATAAGAGGCTGGTTTATATGAAACCTTCATTTGGAAAAATAAACCAAATACCTCCCTTGCCCCCACCAACAACAAAAGTCAGTTTCTGGAGAATCATAAATTATGCTAAGGTGCAACTTGTTCTCCATCACATACTGTAGCTGTGTTAACACTCATTTGACTCAGAGCCAACCCTATTAACGTCACAGGTTGCTGCCAGTGGGAATTTAGTATTGGGATTGCTGGCGGGGATACCAGCCAGGTCCTGGCAGGAGGTAGGAGCCAGTCGGATATCCCGCAAGCAAGGGCCCCTGCGTCTCATATCAGCCAGAAGAAAACCCAAACTCCAAACCAATCATCTTTGGCTTTCTCTTGAGGCTTCTTATTAGGGCTGGCTGCTGTTACAGAAGAGCCAATTGATAGCCAATCATGATTTCCTCCAGGGGTTAGAGGCAGCTTTGGCTCCTGGGCTGCAGACTGCAGGCAGAATGCTCTTCAGTCGCATTCTTCAACTGTGCAACATGCAACGCCATGGCACCGGCCCCAACAAAGGCCCAGCTTCCCCCTCCATTCCCAGGCCCTTGTGTATAGCCGGCTGGCTCAGAGTTTACAAAGACGCCAAACAGCCAGAAGAATTGGGGTTTATGTTTCCTTTCAGTCTTCGCAAATACATTACTGATCTGGCCATTCCTCACCACTAGGGGAATGAGGAGTTACAAAATGCACTGGGTCTTGTTGTTGATGTTGTTGTTGTTGTTGTAATTTAAACATCTCCATTTTAGATGTTTATTATCTGTCTATTCATAATATTTTCACTTGGAGCAGGTGATTTCTTCTCAGCTTACAAAGGAATGTATTTTCTGTACATGGCAGCCCTGATGATTTGACAATGATGAACACATCTAAGTTGTGCCCCACTTGTTTACAAAAGTCTCCTTTTGCTAGCACATCAAAAGCATTTTTTTCTCCTAGTATACTCGTACGTTCATGCGTTTAGCCCTTTCTTAGAGGTGAGAACCATCACTTGATTGGTGCTTACCACAATGCAATCTGAAACTTCATTTGTTATTAACAGTTTTAAAAATTGCATTTCATGGAAATCTGTTTGTGGTTTGTGACATTGGAATTGTAGTTTAGAGAAATGACCCCGTGCATTAGAATGTTGTGTAGCGTTTGTTCTAGGTTGAAGGTGAAACATTGATGACCAGATTTGGTTTCATTGATATACTGCTGCCTGTGCTCCTTTCCAGTAGAAAGTTTAGGTGGAAACTCAGCCTTGGGCTGCAGTGGTGTTCTTTGGGAGGGACACAGTCTTCTGGAAACTAGCCCTTCTTTCTAGTAGCCATCCTTGTACAACCTGAAGGTGATAGATAATGTGGGTCTAACTCATTTTTTGCCATGTACTAAGCACTAGAGTGTAAAGGGGGGATAAGCAAGTTTAAAAGTTCACTGTCATTAATGAAGCATCCTTTTTGTCATTTGCTGTTTTCATTTCCAAGTTCTTCTAGTTTTGTACAACAGGTGGCAGGCAAAATTACTGAGCCTCATAATCCTAAGAAACATGTATGGCAAGAAAACAAAGACAATGTGTTTTATTGAAGTGATTCAATGCTTACTGGAAAATGCTAGGCTACTCCAAAGTCTAAAAGTAACTTGCAGGAGAATTGGTGAGATATATACTGTGAGCCCACTCATTTTGTGTACTGTGTCTTGTGTTATCTTTTCACTTGGGGAAAAAAGGAGGTACATGCTTTAAGATAAATCGAGACCCTTGTATTTGAAATGAAAAGTTTTTCTTAGTACAAAAATTGCATTATTCAAAGTTTCATTATTTGAAAAGTCATTAGAATTCCTAGGAATCCTTTCATTTATATTTTACAATGGTACACTCAAGGATCTGAGGCGTTTTATTTTTATAAATGAAAGAAAAGAATTACTATGCCAGCATCTTAACTGATTTATGTTTTTGACTCTTGTAAATTTAATCTGAAATGAAAAGATCTTAGGGAAGTCTCTGGGAGAACTGGCATGTCATTTTGCCTCCAGCCTTAGGTTTGTCATCTGGGAGCTAACTAAGACCCTTACATTAACGGTGGCTGACACACAAATGGTCAGTATGGAGGAAGGTTCCTGATTGGGTTTCCTTGCTGTAGAACTAAGCCTTCATCTGGCCATTTCACACTTTAGAGAACTAGTAGTGATACATAGTGACTAAATGCAGTTTGGTGTAAAGGAAATAGATATAAAAACAAGAATCATTATGATGCATGTTTTACTTCCCCTGCCCCCATGCAGGAAACAGACAGGAACAAAATAATCAGACTGATTTACCCAAGGCCAAACTAATGATTGACTTTTTATGCTATATTGTTTTTCCCCAAACCTTATATTAGATGCTATGCTGATGGTGGCAGAGAGGCTAGAGGGTCCTTTCAACATTGAATCAGTTATGGATCCCATCGATGTGAAGATTTCTGATGCTATTATGAACATGCAGGATAATAGTGTTCAAGTGTCTCAGAAGGTAATGAAGGCAGGATGCTGGAAAGGGGAGCTGGAGATACCCCCCACCCCACTGCCTTGGGATGTGACTTCCTTGACGTGACCACATTTACTCCAATGCAGGTTTTCCAGGGATGTGGACCCCCCAAGCCCCTCCCAGCTGGACGGGTTTCTCGTTCCATCTCTGAAAGTGCCTTCAGTGCTCGCTTCCGACCACACCACCCCGAGGAACGCCCAACCACAGCAGCCGGCACTAGTTTGGACCGACTGGTGAGCATTTTGGCAGGAAGGGCCGTGTTTGATGACAAAGAACTGAAAACTCTTGCTCAAAATGATTTTTTAGCTGGAAGACTGACAAGTGTGGGTCTTTCAGATGTCACTTTTTGAGCAATTAGGACGTGGATGTCAGTCAATCTGCCTGTCCCATTTTCTAGCTCAGAAAGTTCCTGGGTAGTGAAGGAGTTGTGATGTAGTAAGTCTTGTCTCAAAACTTCTCTTTAGATTCACTGTGCATTTACTGAACATCTATTATGTGCCCATCGCTGTGTTAGGCACAGAGAAGCTTAGAGAAATAAGGCAGGTCCTTGTTCTCAAAGGGCATCAACAAGGAGGCAAAGAGGGAGAAGTAGATGTTCCAGGCTTATTAACATAAAATGATGTTTAGTAAATGCTGAGGTGGGAGAAGAGTGAATAACTGTAGGCAAATTGCTTTATCCACAGTAATATGCTACAGAAATGTAATTAAGTATTCCTATAGTGGTAGGAACACAGAAGAGGGAGCCTGAGGAGACAGGGAAGACAGGGATGGAAAGAGCGATAGCAGCTATCTTTCCCAGAGTGCATAATATAAGAGCTTGATCCTGACTCTAAAAGCCTTGGGAGAAGAGACCGCATCTTATCTTTGTGCCTACAGGGCATGGAACCTGGTAGGCCTCAGATAGTACTTACAATGAAGTTGAGTGGATTGGGGGGTCTAGGCCACTCCTTCGGAGCTTGCATTTCAACTATTCATTTGAGTGGTTTTGTACTTCTAAGATAGAAATTGGAGCTACATCTTCCTCTTCTAACTAAAGTTGAAAATGAATAGCATATCACTCTGGAGATACTTTGGAAATGGTCAGAAGGCATTTGTAGATAGTTTTGTCTTGTCTTACGATGATCTTTTTTTGTTGTTTCATAATTAGGTTACTGATGTCAAGGAGAAACTGAAACAGGCCAAGAAATTCTGGTCCTCCCTTCCGAGCAATGTTTGCAATGATGAAAGGATGGCTGCAGGAAACAGCGATGAGGATGACTGCTGGAACGGGAAAGGCAAAAGCAGGTTAGTGTCTGTTGAATGGATTTGCAGTTTCTCCTTTCCTAGATGCCTGGGTGACCTTGGTTCTTTCAATTGTCAACCAAGGCATCAGGAAGCAATTCGCAGTAGGTAGCAACAACATGGAAGGCTTCTAGGGGTTCTTCAGAACTGGCTTTGCACTAGGATTGTTGAGAAGGCACCCAGCTACTTACGAAGAGTGCTGAGTCCAAAGTTTGACAGTAGTTATAGTCTAGTATTAGGGCCGTTCCGATAGTGTCATTATTTTAACAATATTTAATGTCTGTGGCTCTTTGCCCAGTGGCCTAGCCTCATAAAGTACCAGTTCTCAAAGGTCCTATTCTCTGACTTGATGCCCTTTGTCCCTTCCTTAGACACTCAGTCAACTTAGAGAAGTACCTATACTTCTTTACTTCAACCCACCAACCTCCTCAAAAGCGATAGGTTTCCTTCTTTTCTTTTATTATCTATCTATCTATCTATCTATCTATCTATCTATCTATCTATCTATCTATCTATCTATCTATTTTGGACACGGAGTCTCACCATCACCCAGGCTGCTGGAATGCAGTGGCGCAACCTCTGCCTCCTGGGTTCAAGCAATTCTCCTGCCTCAGCCTCCTGAGTACCTGGGATTACAGTCACACACCACCACACCAAGCTCATTTTTACATTTTTTTCTAGAGACAGGTTTCACTATATTGACCAGGTTGGTCCGACCTCAAGTGATCCACCCACCTTAGCCTCCAAAAGTGCTGGGATAACTTTCAAGAAGGTTTCCATCAAAATGGAGAAATGAGACATCCACAGGAACAGGAAAGATTACAGTTCAATAGGAATTGAAGAACTTCCATCTAGTTTTGCTTAGTGGAAATACTAGAATCTAGCAGAAATATTTGGTAATACTCTTGCTTTTTGCTTTACAAGTCATCTTACTGGGGTCATTTGACATTCCAGGTACCTGTTTGCAGTGACAGGAAATGGATTAGCCAACCAGGGCAACAACCCAGAGGTCCAGGTTGATACCAGCAAACCAGACATACTGATCCTTCGTCAAATCATGGCTCTTCGGGTGATGACCAGCAAGATGAAGAATGCATACAATGGGAACGACGTGGATTTCTTTGATATCAGTAAGCATTTGCCGTTCAAAAGTACAAATTGCTCTTGTATGCATTCTGGTGAGAATAAGTGGAATGAAATCTCTATTCCGTCTTTTTTTTTAACTAGGTGATGAAAGTAGTGGAGAAGGAAGTGGAAGTGGCTGTGAGTATCAGCAGTGCCCTTCGGAGTTTGACTACAACGCCACTGACCACTCTGGGAAGAGTGCCAATGAGAAAGCCGACAGTGCTGGTGTCCGTCCTGGGACACAGGCCTACCTCCTCACTGTCTTCTGCATCTTGTTTCTGGTTATGCAGAGAGAGTGGAGATAATTCTCAAACCCTGAGAAAAAGTGTTCACCATCAGAAAGTTAAAAGGCACCAGTTACCACTTTTCTACCATCCTAGTGACTTTGCTTTTTAAATGAATGGACAACAATGTACAGTTTTTACTATGTGGCCACTGGTTTAAGAAATGCTGACTTTGTTTTTTCATTCAGTTTTGGGAGGAAAAGGGACTGTACATTGAGTTGGTTCTTGCTCCCTCAAACCATGTTAAACGTGGCTAACAGTGTAGGTACAGAACAATAGTTAGTGTGCATTTGTGATTTTATCACTCTGTTGTTTGTTTGTTTCTCATTTCGTTTTGGGTTTTTTTTTTTCCAACTATGATCTCGCCTTGTTTCTTACAAGCAAACCAGGGTCCTTTCTTGGCATGTAACATGTACGTATTTCTGAAATATTAAATAGCTGTACAGAAGCAGGTTTTATTTATCATGTTATCTTATTAAAAGAAAAAGCCCAACTAGCAGTAACATTTCCATTTCTCCCTGTTATTTTAGTTGCCTTATCTGGAGAGACGTGGAGGTGATTTCGTTTTTTTTTTAATTGTTATTAAGTTAGGAGAGAATGTGAGGGCACAAGCAGGCTTCTGAGCCACTTGTCAGATTGTATTCAAAGGATCAGTCCAAGAAGAAGGTTATATGTACTTCATTTATACCTGGTAATTGGAAGAGACTGCAGACTACTGCTTTGAATGAGTTGAATTACATAAGCTAAGATTACTATAGGTTCATTTCTTGAACCCACTTATACTTAAAATGTAACCCATTTAGAAAAAGATTCTAGATATCATCCCCCTTGACAGATAGAAGGCATTCAGGATATCCCAGTTACCACATGTTCACACTTGGGTTTGGGGGTGTTTTTAAAACCAGGCAGGTTAGCTAGTCCACCGTGTGCTAGTTTTCATGTTCACATTGACTCTGAATTAATATCCCAATGGCAGCAGTAAGTGACTTACAATCTCATTTGATCCCCCTTGTTAGAGTGGTTCAGATTTCAAACCCACCTCTGTACAGGGAGCTGTCTGGGAGCTAGCCAGAACTAAGGTACAGCCTGGGCTCAGGGAATAACTGTCAACACTTGGGCAAAGTTTTTGTCTGTGCATGTATATCTGCATTTGTTTTGGGAACCCAGTATTTGTTTTAAGAGAGTATAAGGTGTCTCGTTTGAGTCTTTTTCTCACCCAGCCCCCCTGTTATCAGTAAAACAAAGGAATTGCCATGGTTCACTGCAATGTTTATCCATCCAAGGTATCAGCCAAGGAGCCCACTTAGGGGAGAATTAGGTGTCCCGATTTTTGTATGTGTTGTTTTTCTTGGGGGGTGGGGTGGGGTGGGAGTAGGTAGAGCTGAGAAGACTACATCTTAGCAGTGACCTTTAGCCACGTGGGTGAACTGGCAAAGGCCATGGCCATATCTGTTGTCCCAGGCCAAAGACTAACAACTGCCTTGGCCCCTTGGGAACCCCTGCCTTGTGTCCTTACCAAATGATAGCTCATAAAACTCTGAGAATGTAACAAATCACTTTCAAAGGAGTTCCCAGAAGTCTTCAGAAAGACTGAAATTCTGCAAGTCTCTTCCTGCTTTAGACAGCCATTAAGATCCCAACTGATTTTACTGAACCCACAAAGAGGTTGTTTGTGTTATTGTTCAATTTCAGTTGTAAGAGTAATTCTCTATTTTTATATTGAAACATAATTACTTGATAGCTCAGGGTCTACATTTCATTCAACTTTTTACACCAAATTCTGCAGAGTGGTCAAAATGGAATATTGGGGGCTGTTGTAAACAGAGGCTTAATTTTATTAGAAGTAGTCAGTTATTTATTAAAGCATGATGTTAATAAAATAGGCATATTCTGGCTGGTTCGTATAAGTGGTTTTTTTTTTTTTTAAACGAATCACAGAAGACATAAAATTGAAAAGGCACTCCATTTATATATGAGGAAAAATAGATTGTAAATAGCTACGGGGCCTTGTGAGAACTTGGAAAATGTGCTGATACTTAGTAACTACCTCAGTTGTGAGGAATTTCCTTTTTAGCTTAGACTGCTATTACTTTTACTTGGTAGAAATGAATCTGGTCTCCAAAATATGGCTCAGAGAGTTATCCCCATAGACCTTGTTAGATTGTTTTTAATTTAAAACCTTGAATTCTGCCCAGCTGTTTTCTTTCAGTCAGGTTCTCTAAACCAGTAACATTTTCCTAATTAAATATTCTTGAAGGTTCTTCTGGACTCTTACTGAATTGTTTTCTTTCTTTGCATTTTTTCCTGTTACTCTTTTATTATTTAAATTGTCTCTTGCTTTTGAACTTGAACTATGAAATAAACAAATCATAGATTTTTCCATTCAGGTCTGACTGGATAACTCTTGGCTTCTAACCAGCTGGCAAGCTCACACTCACTCCCTAAAAAAAGAAGAAAGGCAAGTTGAATATTTTAAAACCTTAGGAGTTTGGACTATGTGGTAGAATAAAAGCCTTGTTAGGAGAAGACCTGACTTTTCCAAAGTTAACAGCATGTGAAGGGCTTGGTTACAAACTCATTTATAAATTATTTTTCTTTGAAACACATCACCTACTCTGTACCTTAAAGAAACATTTTACAACTCTTAGATTTATATTTTATTTCAAACATCATAACTAGCACCTGTTATTTTCATTAAAAGACACTGCAAAGAATTGACGTAAATTTCTAGAGTTTAATTACTGAGTGTTCAAAACCTAACTGTTCTCATGAAGTAAAAATTGTCATTTGTGATTACAGAATCAAAAATAGGTATGAATGGTGCTACACAAACTTCTGCTCGCCCTTTGTTAGCAGAATCTATTTATTTACATGGCTAAAGGGTAGATATCTATTTACATAGCTAAAAGGTAGTAAGTTATTAGGTTGGTGCAAAAGTAATTGCGGTTGTTGCCATTATTTTCAATGGCAAAATACGGTTATCTACTAGACGAGGGTGTGTGTGTGTGTGTGTGTGTGTGTGTGTGTATGCACACACATGTAATGTTACTGCAAAGCCAAATAGAACTTTCTACCTTTTTTCAAACAACAACAAAGTACTCACAAATCTCTTCTGACTTTGAACTTCATGGGAAAAAAATGTAACTGCATGCCATGGTACACTTCACAAATTCAGTTTCTGCTTTTCAACTCCTAAAATTTTTCTAAAATTCCCTTTTATGCATGTGGAAAATATCTGAGACATGACATTTGGTAACAGGAATTCTAGTCCATCAATGAGCCACATGCCAAATAATATTTACTTGTCTACTTAGTTTTTAATTAGGTAATATATTGACAGGGTTTAAAACCCAGAACATATATCAAGAGACTGAGTGAATTTTCCTCCCATTCCTGCTTCCATCTGCCAAGTTGTCCCCACAACCCAAGTAAGCTCTTACTAGTTACTTGTATATGTCTTCTTTCAAAGTTTCTTGATGCATGTGCAAGCTAATATAAATAGAAGTTTACCCTTTTTTGTCATATAAAATGTAGCATTTTGTTTTGTTTTTTTGAGACGAAGTCTCCCTGGTCCCCCAGGCTGGAGTGCAGTAGCACAATCTCAGCTCATGGCAACCTCCACTTCCGGGCTCAAGTGATCCTCCCACCTCAGCCTTGTGAGTAGCTGGGATTGCAGGTGTGCGTCACCACACCCAGCTAATTTTGTATTTTTAGTAGAGACAGGGTTTTGTCATATTGGCTAGGCTGGTTTCGAACTCCTGGGCTCAAGTGATCCTCCCACTTCGGCCTCCCAAAGTGCTGGAATTATAGGCATGAGCCACCATGCCCAGCTAAAACATAACATTTTATGCTTATAGTGTCCAATTTAGTTTATTTTTAATTTTTTTTTTTAAAATTAAACTTTTAAGTTCTGGGATACATGTGCAGAACATGCAGGCTTGCTACATAGGTATACATGTGCTATGATGGTTTGCTGCACCCATCAACCCATCATCTATATTACGTATTTCTCCTAACGCTATCCCTCCCCTAGCCCCTCACCTTCAGACAGGTCCTAGTGTGTGATGTTCCCCTTCCTGTGTCCATGTGTTCTCATTGTTCAACTCCCACTTTTGAGTGAGAACATGTGGTGTTTAGTTTTCTGTTTTGGTGTTAGTTTCCTGAGAAGGATAGTTTCTGGCTTCAGCCATGTCCCTGCAAAGGACATGAACTCATTCTTTTTTATGGCTGCATAGTATTCCATGCTGTATATGTGCCACATTTTCTTTATCCAGTCTATCACTGATAGACACTTGGGTTGATTCCAAGTCTTTGCTATTGTAAACAGTGCTTCAATAAACATACGTGTGCATGTGTCTTTACAGTAGAATGATTTATAAATCCTTAGGATATATACCCAGTAATGGGATTGCTGGGTCAAATTGTATTTCTGCTTCTAGATCCTTGAGGAATCACTGCACTGTCTTCCACAATAATTGAACGAATTTACACTCCCACCAACAGGGTAAAAGTGTTCCTTTTTCTCCACAGCCTCTCCAGCGTCTTGTTTCCTGATGTCCTATTTCTTTTAGGTTAGTTTTTTGAATATTGAGAATAGGAGACTCTAAGGATACAGATCAGTAATAAAGTTTAGGATTCCTATTCTAAAGGCATGGCTTCTCAGTGGTAGCAAACTTTGTGTTGTACTACATTTTGGCCCAGATTAAATAGTTTTTCAAGAAACAAACATTGAATATTCAGCAGATATGAATTTTCTGAGTGAGGAACAGTTTGGCATTATAGCACTATAACCCCAGAATGCACCACTGGAATGCTCTCTGTTTCTGTTAAGGTTTCTTTTTGGTAGTTTTTCATATCATCACCAGTGCCGAAGACATTGGCCAAAGCAGTTGGGAAGATCCTCTTGGAACACAGCATATTAGTACTGCTGTTCATGCTTAAGAATGGGTCACAGGAGCTAATGTAATCTGGAATGTACTCATATTCTATTAGAATAAAGTATTCTCTTTTTTGGGGGGACGGGGTCTTCCTCTGTCACCTAGGCTACTCAGGAGGCTGAGGCATGATAATTGCTTGAACCTGGGAGTTGGAGGTTGCAGAGCTCAGTGCTTGGACCCCTGTGCTTGAGTGATCCTCCCACCTCAGGCTCCTAACTAGCTGGGACTACAGGCACACGCCATCATACCCAGCTATTTTTTTTTTTTAATTTTTTGTGAAGACAGGGTATCGCCATGTTGCCCATGTTGGTCTTCATCTCCTGGCTTCAAGCAGTTCTTCTGCTTTGGCCTCCCACAGTGCTGGGATTACAGGCATGACCCACCACACTGGCCTTGAAGTACTTTTAATGCTTCCAAAAGCCCAGATGACTGAAAGCAGCATCAACCACCACAAAGGATGGAGATGAGTGTACTAGGAAAATGTGTAACTAGATCTTGGGTACTGCGTCCAATGGTTGAGTCATGAGAATATGTAAATAAGTTGTTCCAACTTCAGTTTTCTTGTAAAGTTGAATTTTTATGAATCAGGGTTAGAAGAGACTTCTGAGTTCAGTAAAATCTAAAGAAATCAACTCCTCAGCATGAGTGTCCACATGTGCAATCACATGGACATTCCACTCTACTTTTGACATATCTTAAATGTTAGGAATTCTGAAAAAAAGCACAGGGTTGTTGGAAAGACAAAGATCTTCACACATCAATCTCTAGGTAAAAGCTGATGAAAGAGAACTAGTGTGGTTATAGAGTAAAGACAAAGGTATGTGTGTGATGACCCCAGGAGGCTTTTATGATCCTGTTCTCTGGTCTTTGGGGAAGCCTTTGGCAGTAACTTTCTTGCCGCTCCATGTTATTCTTAATTCCTGTGCTTCTTGCAATTAGGATTAGAAGACTGTGTGTGTGTGTGTGTGTGTGTGTGTGTGTACACAGACCTACATACAGATTTACTGATTGATTGTGTATTTTCAAACACTAAATACCAGGTAGATCTTACCCTGTCACTTCTGGGCTGCCTTCCTTTGGCTGTCCCTAAGTGGGGTGTGCTTGGGGAATGTAGACTCATTTTAATAGCGTAAGGAAAATATAATTAAGAAGGTACATTTCCTGCCAAGAAAAAGAAAATGCACATATATAAAATGCATACCAGAGCCCAAATAGAATTTCTTAGATTTGCCACTGCCTGGGTGTGCTTTTCTGCATCACCATAGATAACCTAAAACTGACTGTAACTTGCTGTTCATGGTGACTCACTGCACAGGGCATTTTGGTGCTAGGCCAGCCACAAAGAAATAATCACAGCCAGTGGGTGCTTTCTGAACACACATTAGGATCCGGTCCTCTTTCCATGCATTTGTCTTTAAAAGTCTTCACTGCCCCTGCCGTCACCTTTCTTTTAAAATGTAATGACAAATGGCTTGTACTCTGCTGTTTCTGTTCGGAACACTTCGCAATAGGATCTGGCAGCGGTAATGAACATTGAGACGTGTTATTAGAAAAGAAACTAGCTATGTGCTGTTTATTGTAACTTCCTGACTGAGAAGTGAGGCAGGGGCTGGGCACAGTGGCTCACGTGTGTTATCCCAACACTTTGGGAGGCCAAGGTGGGCAGATCACTTGAGGTCAGGAGTTCAAGACCAGCCTGGCTAATATGACCAAACTCCATCTCTACTAAACATATAAAAATTAGCCAGGTGTGGTGGCGGGCACCTATAATCCCAGCTACTCGGGAGGCTGAGGTATGACAATTGCTCAATCCCAGGAGTTGGAGGTTGCAGTCAGCTGACATCACGCCACTGTACGCTAGCCTGGACAACAGAGCAAGACTCTGTCTCAAAAAATTTTTTTAAAAAGGTGAGGCAGGAAGAACCTCTGTGCCCGGCACTAAGGCTGGACCACACTGATTCTGTCACCGAATTCTGTAGAGTAGAAGTCAGTGCATTTCACAGAAGAGTCAAAGGATGCAAAGAAGTCAGGTAACTTGGCCAGGGTGACACCAACAGAAGAAATGCAAGAACCAGATTTGGAGCAGAAGTGGGTCTGCCATCAGGCTGAGCCTGCTCAAGTGCTACTTTTCCTTCGATTGCCCCCTCTCCCTTACCCTACATTGTCTGAATCATTAGGAAGGGACAAGGCTTGTCAGGATTGCCACATATAGAGCTGCCCTGGCCCTGAGGAAGCGTCGGGTTAATGGCCATAGGAGGCACTGATCAACTTGGCTGACCTGAGTGTGGGCCAAGGCGTCCGGGGCCGCCTGGAGGCAAGTCTTGAGGAAGAGCGTTTTGGACTTCACACAGTTGCTCCTTGCTCTGTGGACTTAAAGGCAGTAAAAACTCCAGTGCATGCAGATTATGTGCCATCACTGATGTGCTGGTTCTTGAAGAACCTATTTATG